ATTTCCTCCTATTTTGTCATTGGTGCCGATGTGCACCATGACAACGGGGTCGTGCCCAACCCCATCTAGTAATCTGTCAATTCGCTCCGCAACGTGTCGAGCGACACGTTGCTCGACACGTTGTTAAATGCATATTACATGCATTTAACATGTTGTATTAGCACTTGGTACACACGAACAATTGCTTCACTATTCATTTCAGTGTATTATAACAATGCCATATGGTGTTAGATTTGTGCCATATTCTGTGCATAGAACGCTTTACATTTTAGATTGGTGTATGTTGACATTACCAGTAGAATATTAGTTGAGGTCACATTTTTGCATATGGTCACGACTGTAGGTTTTCTTAAAGGTTTCAGTTATGTCCATGAATAGGTACCAGCATGATATTATGTATATCAGTATTTTGGTTGGCAAATGGTTTGTAACAGTTATACCACAATTTATTCCATTTGATTATATTCCTCCTGTGCCTTTTTTTTTTTCAACACAGCGTTCAGGGAGGATTAGCCCCCTGGTGAGTCCCGTGAGCTGTAACATGCAATGGGGGTGGGAAGAGGTCACGTATACTAGTGAATGGCCACTCTACCTGCCTGTTTGATCAATAGGTCCGCCCAGCCCCTCATTCTCTGACATGTGGGGCGGCCTTAAGCTCTATCCAGACGAGCAACTCAGCTTGTGTCAGCACCGCCCATTCCCTCGCAACTCAACATGTGGGGCAGCTGCCATTAAGCTCTCTGTGCAGCATCATGGGTCAGCTTGATACTGCCGACATTGCCCATCCCCCGCTTGTCAGCAGGTGAGCAGTATGCTGATCAGCATTGTGGCTGCAGCAGTGAGCGGTAGAGTGATCGGTTCTTCGGCTCTGATGTCAGAGCCAGTAGGAACAGAGCTGAAGAGTACACAAGGCCATACAAAATGTTGCTATGGGGCCCTGTGATTTCTAGTTACACCCCTGCTCCCACACTCCAAAGACACGCTGGAAGGTCAATTTGCTCCTGTATGTATGCATGCGAGATAGGGACCTTAGACTGTAAGCTCTTTGAGGGCAGGGACTGATGTGAATGTGCATAAATTGTCAGCGCTATATACCTATATTTTATTATTGGTACTTACCAACATTAAAAAAAAAAAAAAAAACCCTTACAAACCATAAGCTTTCATTATTTCAAGTCAGAGCATTTGTAGATAAGCCTACTAGCAGCCAGATCTCAGCACGCTGTGTAATGACACTGCTAACTCTTTGCTCCCATGCGTAAAGCCCAAGATTTCCTCTTTGACACAGGCGGAAGCTCAGGGGTTACGCAGCAATCCCAAATACTCTTGTGTGCAATCCTCTTTCTGAGCAAGAGTTCAGCACAGTGGTCAAATGGAACTAAACTCCCCCAGTCACAATTAAATGTATAATGTGTAAATCCACTTCATTTAACCCTTTGGCTGCCAAGCCCTCCGGAACATTTTTCAAATCAGCTGGCCAAGCCATTTTTGCAATTTTTTCCTATTGATACGGGCTATTCATTTGAGCCCGTACAGCTCCCGAAGTTGGCCGATCTACTCAGTCGAGCTGAAGGCATATGCTTCAGCTCGACTGAGCCAAGGTGAAAGCCGAAGCTGGAACGTCCGGCCGACAACCTGCTACTGACAGCATGGCGGAGCCAGCCGTCATCTCTCGTTTGGCTCTGGCCACTTGCATGCAGAGACAGATCAGTGTCCCCTGGTTAGCAGCTAACCACGGACGCTGATTTGTCATTACACTGAGAACCCGGCGGAGCCGCTGTGATATCACGGCGGCTCCGCTAGGTTCTCAGTGTGTAATGACAGTTCAGCATCTCCTGGTTATCTAGTAACCAGGGGACGTTGGACTGTCATTATACACTGAGAACCCAGCGATGCTGCCATGATATCATAGCGGCTCCGCCGGGTTCTCAGTGTGTAATGAACGTTCAGCATCTCCTGGTTACCTAGTAACCAGGGGACGCTGGACTGTCATGAGAGCTTGTCGGAGCCGGCTTTGATATGACCTCCTGCTCCGACAAGCTCTCATTGTAATGACAGCTGGTCCCGTCCAATAGAAAACAGTTGGGCGGAGCTAGCTGTCACTGCTAGCTCCACCCCATAATTTTCTCCTTTTTCTATTCTGCTCAGTACCACAGAGCAGAATAGCTGAGCCGAATGCTGTTTGGCCCCTATGAGAATATGCCGAACAGCAATGAGTAGCCTGCCGGAGGTTCGGCTAAGCCACAGGACCCCTTCGGTTGAGTAGAACCGAAGAGCTGCTGTACGGGCTATTCATTTGACGATCACTCCGGTGTTTGCTGTAAACAAAGGGATCAATAAATATCAATGATATTTAATAATCCCCCGCTCGGCCACGCTACAGAGCCGCTGTCATCCAAAAACTGACAGGATGACAGCGACTCCGATCGGAACACCGCTCTGCCATCCTGAATTGCGGCCAGCCGCCACTTGCTCGCCCGAACCGGTGATTTTTTTACGGATCCTTGCTGCCACAGATCCTACAATCAGCGGGGATCCATGGAGTCTCTCATCCCTCACTGATGACTGCTATTAATTTGAAGGGGACAGTCCGGGGAACAGTTCTACTATAAGCTCATGCTCACTAAAGCGACCATGAGCTTATAGTAGAACTGTAAATGCCAGGTCCGTACTGCATACTGAGCTGGCCAGCCGGGAGCACTTTTGTACCTCTGCATGCCGTACGTCCTTAGCAGCGAAAGGGTTAAAAGGTTAAAGTTATAAAAATGCATGCATCAGTCACAACAATTCTAACGCAATTTCGCATTTGCCTGAGACTTCTTCAGAGGCATTGAGCTAACTAAACATACATTCTCTTAAACCCTTACTCATATTAACTCCTTTGTTGTATTAAAAACAAATACACATATTAACTCCCTCATTACTAATTAAAATAACCAGTATATAATCTCAAGCATATATTAATTATCCTATCAATTTTGCTTTCACCTTATTATATCAACATCTCAACTCCACCATTAGTGAATTATCATCTTGTGCAATAATTATCTAGTAAATATTTAAGTAAATGGATGTTTAGCCAGCCCACTGCCTCTGAAGAAGTCTCTAACACAATGTGTCAGCATATTGTGGCTGGCATGCTTTATTATGATTTGAACCTTTTAAAAAACAAAGCAGTTTTACGCTATGTCAGTTTTTTGCTCCTTCCACATTTACCGTGGCTGTGCTTGATCCTTACTCAGGGGAGGGGAGAAGACAGGATTGCATCAAGGAAAATCTGGGTTTGCTGAGAAACACCCAAGCTCCACCTGTGTCTATGGGATTGTAGGAGAAGAGAGTAGCATTACCAGTGCCTGCCATTATACAACCTTCTGGGATCTAGCAAGTTAGGGGGGTTGCTTAAAGTGACATTAAACTCTCAGATGTTTTAACATAAAACAATAGTGTAATGTGTGCCTTACTGTAATCCATGGTTGTTTTCCTTCTTTTTGCTGCTCTTCCTTTTAAATCTGTATCTGTTCTCATGCTCTGCAGAACTTCTGTTTTGCAGCAGACTGCCTTGTCTCAGGAATGTATATACGGTGTCTGTGTATTAGTTTCTATAGGCTTGTAACCTGAGCCAGCACTACAGGAAGAGGCCCTGAGCTGCAAAGGGGAGTTCTGCAGAGCATGAGAAGACATGAGGATTTAAAAGGAAGAGCAGCAAAGAGAAGGGAAACAACCATGGATTACAGTAAGGCACACATTACAGTATTGGTTTATGTTCAAAAATCTGAGGGTTTAATGTCACTTTAACTGTTTTTACCTTTTTTAATGCCACAGCAAGAAAGCAGCTTCGTTAAAAATGCACAAGTAGCTTTAAATGGACTCTGTCTGTGAAGGTTCTCAATTGAATTGAATTTCTGAATTGAGAAAGCTGGTTGGATGTCCAGTGAAACGTCTTCAAGAAAAATACAGCAAGTCCAGTTGCCTTGACTGATTTTTTAGATATTTAAATGGACTTGTGTAAAATACTTAGATTCAAATTTTAATTGGCTTAAAGGGAATCATAGTATGGGCCCATGCACATATATTTACAAGTAACCTCGTACGTTTAAATGAAGATGTATGACTTTGAACAGACATATCTCTTTTAGTGGTTGCCCTTGAGAAGCTATGTCAGAATTTGTGAAGAACTAGTAAAGAAGCAGCTGTTATGGGAGTGGTTTAAGAACAAGGTTCTGTGTTTTAAATAGAGTTGTAGAATGACATTTAGAAATGATGAGTTAAGTAGTTTTGGTCGCACCATATAGAGAAGTATAGTAGTCGTGACGTCAGAAATAAGTTAAGAATATGCTTACAGAGTTATGACCTTATAGGATAGACCAATCGTTAACGTCGATTTTGGTATATAAGCGACAGGGGACAGACACTCGGGGGGCATACACACTACAGACACACAGACACGCCCACACTCACACTCACATTTGAAGGGACTTTGTTATTTCACCTGCTTAGGCTATTTTGGTTGAACCCTCCAGAAGCTGAGAACCATACCAGGAGGTAAAGACTCAGAACGAGATGACATGCTTTTTAACTCTGCATTACTATATACTTTGAACTATCTATTTGTATATTATATTTTTGCAATATCATTGTATGCTGTGACTTTCCATTATACAATTAAAGTCACAAGTTTTTCAATCTACAACTGGACAATCATTGATGAAGATTAATCACCTTCAGACGCTTAAATCGCAAGTGTCAGTCGAGAAATACTAATTTTCTAACAACTTGATACAGTATGTTTTGTATACTAACATTTGGCAAATCTAATGACCCTGACATGTAAACTATTAGTAATCTTTCACCTAATGGCAAAACCATACAGGTAAAGAAGAAAAAACTCGACCGCTCACTCACTGACACATCTGTTTCTGCCACCAAGCATCTGGTGGTTTGCAGTCATTCAATAATGGATAAACCCATGTGATACATACATAGAAGTTATGATTCCCTACCTCAATCCTACAAAATCCTTGAACTTTAAGGTCTCCAGGATGTACTGCTTGCACACTCACACATTGGTTGTGGGTTACTCTTGAGTGCAAGTCAGCCCCTGTCCGATGAAACAAAACACGTGCAACAGGATCAGAAGGGGTTACTTCTCTCCTTATCACCTCTCCACGAATGCCTTTGCCTCTGGCTCCTAGGACATCCCATGGAACACTCTGAAATGAAAACGTAAAAAATATTTTTCAATGTATACTCAATATTATCAAATAAATATTCATAAATAACATTTGTAATTGTAGACAACAAATACATAATTTTAACACTATCAAAACATATAACCTTAAAAAAACATATACAGATATCTACAGCAGGTTTTAGTCAAAGTTTGTCAATGCTTTATTCTTAGTGAGAACTACAGCAATCCAGGCAAGTTTAGGATGACTTGCTTGTATCTATTTCTCATTTCTTAGGCTGGGTTCACACCTAGGAGTATTGAATATGCGCGTTTCGTGCCACACGTTTTTACCCTTTCCGAGGGCTACCTGGCTGTTTCCCAATGGAAACGTGCGGCAAAGACGCTCCTGTACTTCTTTGGGTGTAGGGCGCTTTGCAGCGCGTTCCTACACGCTGTAAAACGGGGAACCATGCCCATAGGCAATCATTGGTTTTCACATGTTGAGGGTTTTACAGAGTGTAGGAACGCGCTGTAAAATGCCCAGGTGTGAACCAGGCCTTAGGTTGGGTTCACACTTGAGCGTATTTTTTCAGCTTGTTTTTTCCCGCGTTTTTCCGTTCAGTGAAACGCGCGTTTCACTGGCGGTATGATTTTTTTTAGTTTTTTTGCCTTTTTTTTTTAAATTACATTTTTTTCCACTTTCAAACTTCCCGCCGGCTCCGTCCCCCTGCGACGCGGCCGCTCGCAAGGTACGGAACCCTGAAGTCGGCAGCCGCCGGAGGACACAGCGGGGATCTCGGACAAGGTAAGACCTGTTTGCTGTATTCCCGAGTGTGGCTCAGGGTTACCGCTTTGTGAACCCCGATCCACACTCGGGAATACCAATGGAAACGCGCGGAAAAACGCCCCAAAGAAGCTCCTGTACTTCTTTGGGCGTAGGGCGTTTTTCAGCGCGTTCCTACGTGCTGAAATACACCCAGGTGGGAACCATGCCCATAGGCAATTATTGGTTTTCACATGTTGAGCGTGTTACAGCGCGTAGGAACGCGCTGTAAACTGCCCAGGTGTGAACCGGCCCTTAGGGTCAACGCTCAGTCAACCACTGAACACCAAGTCTTGCAAGAATTGCTATTATTGTATATACAGGTATTCCTAAAGGCTGCTTCTATTAAATATATGCCAATACCAAGCATTATTACAAAACCCCAGAGATTCACTCAGGAATAGAGATGCTCCTTTCTGGTATAGACTACCAGAGTTATAAGGTCCACTGGTTGACTGCAGTCACTGTGCAGCTGATTTTTTTCCACTCAGCTCCTCCCATTTGCAGTCAAAGTTTGTCAGGAGAGGGTATCACCAGAGCCGTCCATGGCTCACATTTTGGCCCATTCACAAGAAGTGACCTAATTTCAAGCCATGTATGGCCAAGCTTTAGTACGCTGCTCCTTGCAACCTCCTTCCACAATAGAAAGGATATTCATAGTCAAGAAAAGATGTGTATAGAGTGTGCTTTTAGGAGTAGACAATGTTGTTCGGAGTATCATACTTGTAAATAAAGTAATTGTTCACCTGATGTAGTGGTGAAGTTTTTATATTGTAAACCCCAGCAAAAAGTGCTTCTTCAGTCCCAGCAGTAGTTTGACTGCAAGAGATGTTCACCTGCACTCCACATCAACAAAAACATAAACATCAAGCTTCTCTTACCATTTAGGGCCCATTCACAACAGCCACTGCGCTAAATCTCACAGTGGCTGCTGTGTGGTGGCCGGCATAATACTGATGTGCCGATCCCAGCACATCACACTGTGTACTTTTGTTTTGTTGGAAATCTATTTAAATGACAAAAGTCACATTTCATTCAGTTTGTACTGCATGCCATACTTTTTTTCAGTGCACACCACTGCAACGCAGTGGTGTGAGTTGTGTCCATCCATGACAAGCCAAATTGACTTGTCTTGCTTTGGGGCTGTGCTGGAAAAAACGGGCAGCACAGCCCCAACGTATCAGGTGTGAATCGGCCCTTGGGGTCTGTACTAAAATATCTTTAAAAGAATGTGGGGCACCACCTTTTTTTAACGTAGTTAATCAGGTTGAAAAAAATCAAAAGTCCATCGAGTTCAACCTATAGATATAAGACAAGAAGAAAAATGATTTCCTGATCCCATAAGGCAATCTGATATTCCCTGGATCAACAAGCTCTGGTGCTCAATATACCTATAAGAACTCAATATCCAGTAATATTCTGTGCATTTAGGAATATATCCAGATTTTTTTTTTTAAACAGTTTTTAAACAGTTAACTGAGCTAACTAGAACTAGCATATTTCCACAGCTCTGTGAAGAATTCTTTCCTTATGCAAAAGGTAAAACCTTTTGCATAGGGAAATAGAAGAATATAGTAACCTATATGGGTCTCTATTAAAATTATTCACAGATAAACAATGTCCCCAAAATAGAGATTCCAAAAGGAATAGCAAGTATTAATCAAATCTCAAAAAGTGCATGAACGTACATTTAAAACCTAAAGATCCTAGAAACAAAAAGATGTACCAGCCATGGTTATATACCGTAAATGTTTGAAAATCATGCATCATGGATATCAGAAAATATTCATGGAATGACGACTAGGAATTCATGATGTATCCTATTTAAGAGTACACCTGAATTTAACGGGCAGTTTGTTCATATGTTTCAACGCTCCATTGATACTACAAGTTCTCAAGAATCACGTATCACAAACTATTATTTTTGGATGCCTGACTTTATGATGGCATATTATCTAGGTCATCTTTAGAAGTCCTCAGCAATTGGATTAGGTCATTTTAGATGTACTTCCTATCACACTAGGGAATTATGCTCCACCTGTTATGACACAACTTGAGTAGTTGGGATCATGTTCATGAATACTTTCTGATATCCATGATACACGATTTTCAAACATTTACAGTATATAACCATGGCTGGTACATCTTTTTGTTTTTAGGATCCTTAGGTTTTAAATATACGTTTATGCACTTTCTGTGATTGATTCATGCTAATGATAAGTTGGACCATTTATATGGACCATTTATGTATTTATACATGGTGATCATGGCCCACCCTTAATCGCCTCTTCTCCAGAGAGAACAAATTCAGTGCAGCTAATCTTTCCTCATAGCGGAGCTCCTCCATGCCTCTTATGCGTTTAGTTGCCCTTCTCTGCACTTTCTCCTGTTTCACAACACCCTTTTTGTGAATTGGTGCCCAAAACGGAACTGCATATTCCAGATGAGGTCTTACTAATGCTTTGTACAGGGGCAGGATTAGGTCTCTATCTCTGGAGTCTATACCCCTTTTAATACAAGAAAGTATTTTGCTTGCTTTAGAAACTGTGGCTTGACATTGCATGCTATTATTGAGTCTATGGTCTACCAGAACACCCAGATATTTCTCCATCATTGACTCCACCAAACGTACTCCCCCTAGAGTGTATGACACATGCATGTTTTTAGTCCCCAAGTGCATAACTTTACATTTATCAACATTAAACCTCATTTGCTAAGTAGATGCCCAATAAAATAGTGCGTTCAGATCTGTTTGTAAGTTGGAGACATCCTGTAAGGACTGTATCCCACTACATAACTTGGTGTCATCTGCAAAACACAGAAATAGTACTTTTAATCCCCAATCCTGTCATTTATAAATATGTTAAACAGTAAGCGGCCCGACACTGAACCTTTGGGGACACCACTATCAACCTCAGACCATTCAGAGTATGAATCATTGTGGACTTGAGATACATCATGTTCCATGGTATACACAGAGCTGTAGGGAATATAATGTAAATGAACATTTTTCTTTCACAAAGGTTTTATTGGGTTTTTTGTAAGGAAAGTAAAAGTCAAGGCTTGCAAGCCATGTGGCAGGTAACAGTGCAGAAAGCAAACATTCTTAGTGCTACGCAGAGCACAACAGAGTACAGTGCGTTGCCAACAAACTTGGTATGGAGGATCTTGAAAAATGGCATAAGAAGAATAGTATTGTATAGACCTAATGGGTCAGACAGTAGGGTTTGGGGAGAAAGGATCATTATATGAGAAACATTGCAATTCTGGATTCTGATCCTCTAGAGAAGGAGGCCCATAGGTCTCTCAACATCATGCAACAGGACATGGGGTCCAGAGGGGGAAGAGCACGTCAATCAGCAGAGAGGTTTGGGGAAAAGGAGAAGGGGAGGGATAAGGAGTACTGCAGAAGGTACAGAGGGG